AAAACGTAATGTAAAGGACATACCTTCCTGTGGGCCAAGTATTGCATTCCTCGGGCGCATTGAAATGCAAAACACAGCAAATCACAAGTAGTGACGACTTTGTCTTTGTTTCGCTTATGTACGGACTCTCCCCTATAACCTCCCGAACCATTGGCCGAACTCGAGTCCTGACCCGTCTCTTGACCCGTATTACCGTTACTGTTCACTGATGTGATGTAACCGTTAGTATAACTACCGGAGTGTTGATTATGCAGTATATCTGCGTAACGGACGCTCTCTTTCTTCACATTTATGGATGTCATGTGTGAAGACGTCGTGTAATTAGGATTTGTTATACCATTGGCTGCGAACACATTCTCATAGACCGGAGTTCTGCCATTCATTGAGTTTGAATGCTTTTTCATGTCTTGTATGGTCTTAATTGTCGGATCAATTAGTCCTGTGTTGGCGTTCAACTGATTGACGTATGAGTCCCTATAAGCCAGCAAATAGTGTCTCAAGTTTCCAAATTTGCAGTACTCCACTATCACTAGGATTTCCCCTTTCACTAAGTTTTTGGTGACGGCACCCAACAAGTTAACTATATTTAGATGTCGTCCCAAATGAATCAGAATTTTGAGTTCAGCCATCAGTGCCTTTCTTTGAATTATATCAGCCCTTTCTGTCACAATAATTCATAATTAGTTTAAATATTATTTTATTTATTTTATACAAACCTTTAAGCATTTTAACAGCAACTGTAGTCGAGTTATCCCCGTCCTCCAGATCTATTGCCTCTGCTTTCACTACTCGACCAAACGCTCCCTGTCCTAATGTTCGGCCTAAATATAAAACAAATTTTATATAAATTTATAGTCATATTTGTGTAAATGTAGTTATTATAAAATTAAAAATAATAACCTAGTTTTAGCCTTTCTTTCGGGAACTCATATCTGGGATCGTATGGCAATAATTCAATTTGTTCATCGAGAGGCATATCCGGATTAAACATCTCAATTTGTCCTGTCTCAAACAGATTGTGCGAGAAAAACTCCAATTCCCGCTTTTGTTTCTATTAATTCATAACAATTGATATATCATAATGTGTTTGATATTTAATACTCTTAACTAACCCTTTCTTGTCTAATCTTTTTGCCGATATATATGACCACAAATATCATAACAGTTCCCACGACAACGAATAATATAAAAACAATTATCTCTTCAGTGCTGCGTCCGGTAGTGGTGTCTTCAGGACTGTCCACTTTAAGCCTAGCGCTGGCCCTCGCAGTTCCGCCGCTATTGTGTGCCTCACATTCATAAACACCGGAATCCTTGTCCAGTATTCGTGTGAATGTAAGCCTTTGATTCCTGTCATCCAATTTAATTCCCGTTTTTTCGTTCACAATAAATGGCTTTTTATTTCTATACCAAGTGATCACAGGCTTAGGTCGACCCCAAACCATACATTGCAACTCTAGCTGAGTGTATGGGGTCTTCTCAATCACATTATCCCTCATATTAGACTCCGTCATAATTGGGGCCGATATGTCTGTAGTTACAGTACACAGTAATTAGTTATCAGTTTATGATTACTAGAAATTCATACTTTGGATGTCGAGTTTAAACTCAATATCATGTTTGATGTGTTGATTATCACGAGTTTGTGCTTCACAGACATAAATCCCAGAATCACTTCTTTCTACTGATTTTAATTGTATGGACAGAGTTATGGAATATTCATCGGTTGATGAGCTATGGATTAGATCTGATTTCGAAAACTAATTAGTCTTCAAATATAATATATTCATAAATTATAATTGATATTACCAGTCAGATTGGGTTCAATATCTGATTCCTCTATTTTGTCATATAATGGTTTTCTAATCCAATTTAATTCTGTATAGTTATATACACTGGCCTTACAGGTAAGGGTGATGTCGTCGCGAACTGTGGGCTCATCTGTTGATGATATGATTGAGAATCCGTTTATGGCATCTAATTATAAAATAACAAATT